TCATTTTGTCCGCTTGATGGCACTCCAAAAACTTTCGATAAGGCGACGAATACTTCTTTCCTTAACGTTTTGTGCGCGAGAATAACAACTGGAATACAGTACTCGAGAAACGTTGCCACCTAAAAGTGGATCGATTGAGGGCGAGAATAGATGTGGGAAGGCATAACGCCTCTTACCACACGTAAAATAACATATGCTAGTAAGTATCCGGGGTCGGCAATGTACTTATCCTCCTCAAAGTCGAAACCAACTTGGAAGAACGTACTGCCAACTAGATCGGTAGTAGTGACACCTGTATCGAGGAGAACTACTGGGGTAATTAACCTGAATTTACATTGAAAATAGCGATTTTTGATGACCAGTGAGAGAGTGAGAGAACCCTGACCTTAATACTCTGAACGTTCTCCGTAATCTGGTACCGGAACGAGAGCGCACCCACCCCTCGAGTTTTCCTTACGCATACGTCGGTTCACCAGCAGAAGAGTACAAAGAATCTAAACGAACAATTCCATGGAAATCTTTAAGAATAGTCTTACTAGGTTACTTACTGTAAGAATCACACAGGAAAGAGCAAGCTGGATCACATCACTGCCCATACCACCTAGAATGAAGAGAAGATTTGACGACACCATTTCTATTATCGAAAGATTTCGCATTTTCTGAAGCAGTGGATCACTGTGTATACATACTTGTGAATATGTGAATATCACAGTCGAGCAATATCCCCAGCGCTCAGGATACAGATCGTTGAGAGAACCCTGAGCAGAATCCCCACTCGCAAAACTCCCACTGAGAATCCCACATGCTCGCAGAACTTTTATATAACCGCTCGCAAAACTTTTATATAACCGTACATAACCACTATTTGTGGCCGATTATTGGAAGACTCTACGCCAGTCTTTCCGGAACAAATTTTCTGGACAACTTAGTCAACTCTGACGGCTTCACCCGAATTTGAATCTTGCCGTCGTAGGTAGAGTGGAGTGATGTCTTGCGAGACCGCGTGTATATCCATTTTTGCTTGTCAATCATTACCTCGTACTTCTCTCTAGGGAAACTAACTGGACCACAAACAGTGCTGCCCTTCAGCGCCATTACAAAACATTCAAAAGGGAAAGCGCGGGAAAGAAAAAGGGGGCTGATCGCCACATATACGATTTCAGTTGCTCGCTGGATGTTTGGAGGATCTCCCGTCCTGCTGTCCATGAATTTCGAAACGTCTCATAAGGTGGTCGTTATCGCTAATCGTTGTAGCTTGCTGTATCACTTTTTCTTTTCATATATTGTGCGTTTTTTTCTGCAAAGTAAAGTACTGCCTTTTTTGCTTTCTCTCAGTTCACGAATGGTAACTCCGTGACTATCTCGTGCCTTTGAAGGAAGGGGTACCCAACTGCCAAATGCGTTGCAATGGTAAGATTAGTGTCACTTAAGCTTATTATGTACGGCAGGGAGAACGTGACACGCCCAAAAAGAAAACACCAGAAAAAAACAAACACGCCCACATATGAGAGCCATGAACCTCTGACATCGTACTAGCTTGCTAGCGCTCGCGGCGAGTGTTCCAATTCGCTGGTTTCATTTCATACTGCAGATGAATAAGGAATGTTAACGTTCCTTTGCAGGACTTTGTTTACTCGTCTTTTTCTTTTGTCTCTGTTGTTTTTTTTTTGTTGTTTTGCGTTCTAGGAGATTGGTGCCACCTGCGTTGACTTCCGGTAATGGGGGCCGTCCGTCGTCGAGCAATGGCTGCAGTGTACAGAAAGGGAGAGCAGTTCTACCCATAGCAGAGACTGGCAAGTGCGAAAGGGAAATATCAGCGCTACAGTTTTTTTCTCCCAGACGGAGATCAGAAGGGCATAACTAATGCCCTGTGATCCTCTATCCTCTCACGTCATTGCCGCGTACTTTCACGTGACGAGAGTGGTAACATCAGTACACCCTGAGACTCTTCGGGAACACTCACCAGCGGCGCACTCGTCGCGGGTTGGCAGCGCTTTCCAGTACACTCGGCAGGGCACAGCATTCGATGGGGATTTTGGTCGAGCTTTTACGACCCCCCCCCCTTTTTTCAGGGGCTGGTACGACCCCCCCCCATGCTCGTACGATGGCTGACATGGCTGACTGTGGTTGTGGTTTATACTCGGCGAAAAAGTTGTCGAGCGGGGGGGGCTCCAAAACGTCCGCAAAGCGAGAAAAATCAACTATAAAAATAAATTTTTCCCAGCCCAAATACGACCCCCTTTTGGCGGCCAAATACGACCCCCCCATAGGGAATCCCCATCGAACGCTGTGCCCTGAACTGCGCCAGCGACATCGCTCGGCATGCGCCGTGTGCGCGCCACGGGTTGGGGTTTTCTCTTACCGATAGACGTGATAACTTCATGAGGAAATCGAAACCAACGTCCAGGAAACCGTGCACTGTTTTTTTAAGGTACCAGTGAAGGTCGGTCTTACAGAATCAATACACGTCCCCGGTGAACCACTACATGCGGTCAGCGTGTGCCTTTGAAGTGAAATGACAAGCGGATTCCACAGCTATGATGGCGGATAAGTATTCTATGGTCAGTCGCACATCATATAGACATTTCCTAATCCGTTGCGATAATTTGCAAAGAAATATTTACCAAGCCGGTAGACGTAAATATGAGTGGCGATGATTATACCCTGAAAACGAAAACACTCAGAAGCGTATTACAGAAGACAAAACAAAGCTTGAAGTGAAGAAGTTGCTCACCGCTAGTACCTGGCAGAATAGAAGAACGAACCAATTTTTTCGAGATTCGTAAGTTTTCGAAAACACCGTGGCCGAGAATCGCTCCATTACACAGAAAATCACTGAAGAACTGAGTAATGCTTACCAAAGAGGAAAAAATCAGTATGAATGTTTTGGTTAATGGGTTTCCAAAGCTACAGGGCAGGTTTTTGAAATCGGTATCAGAGATTGGGGGAGACTTGTAGTTAATATCGTCGCAATCGGTCGGGGTGGTGATAATATTTATAGTTAATATCACTCCAAGTGGGCCCGGCCCCGGCTGCCTTTTTACCAATGGTGATCGGTTAGTGATCGATTTTCTTTTAGTGAAAGAAAACAACCAGTGGTAGGAATCGCCCCGGGCGGGTTCATTCCATGCCGCCCTGTGCCGCGGAGATATTAACTATTAACTGCGAAATGCTTAAAGACAGCCTCCGCGCTCAGTAGTACAGCCCCCAAGCTAGAGACTGTCCCACTCTATTCGTCTGCACAGCGAGCGAGAAGCGAGCTACAGCCGCTGTAAGTTCTAGTTCTAACGCCTGCTCAGTTGGACCGCCTTACTTGCTAGATGTCCTCCGACGGAGGCCACTCAGTTGTTCTTAGTCGGGGCGGCGGGCATTGCTAATGCCCATGGATAATTCTGCTCCCCTTTATTACAGTTTACTCATTGGAGGTATATACATTCAATTCAACTCATTTCGCGAGGTGAAACGCGTAAAAAGCACGAGTGACGCAATTTTCGTGATGCAAAACCTCGACGCACAAAACGTGCGCTACCGTAATCCCAAATTCAGACACCGCGTTGATAAAATTCCTTTTTCCTTCCAAGAGTTTTTCCTCTGCGTTTTTGTTTTCTTTTTGTATTCTTTTTTTGCTGGATGATATCAACTACTGCGAGATGTGATAGAGAGATTTGTGAGCTAGGGTTGCACAGAGACCGCAGGGAGGTGTGACTGTGAGGGAGCGATTTTGTTTATGTTGTTCTGGAGGACGCTTCTTGCCTGTTTTCTTCTTTGGGAGATTACTTATCAGCTACTGTTTCATAATTGGAAAGCAGCTATCCATGAGACTTTTATCGCGGGAGCTGTCTTTAAATATCGAAAAGGGTCTTGTGCGATAAAGACGAGAAGGACCCCCAAAAAAGAAAAATTGTCAAAAATTAATATAAATAAACATCAAAAGTGGGTTGAGAATTATTAAACTACCTAAACCAAGGTAATAAACAAGACGAAAAAAGTCATTGTTTGGTACTCGTCATCACTTGAGCTCTTGTTCACGGCGGATGAAGGGGGGTGTCAGGTGAATATGTTTGGCGCCATGCCAGCCCGTTTCCCACCACCACCATCTTTTCCTTTCGCCAAGCGGCAAGACCGTCATGTCGTTCGTATCAGCCGTTTTCTTTCGATCATTGTCGCTTGCAATTTCCAACAGCTGGTGGGAAACGGAAAAATGATCAAAAACGGTGACGCGTCAGAATACGATCCGCCTAACACGCCTCAGCGAACAAGTCTGTAGCAAACTTGGTTGAATAAATTTTTGATCATAATCAGAACAAAAAATGGCGCTGATGAAAGTGGCATTTGGAAATTCCTCTCACAAAACTGGGATTGTCGTCATTCCGATAGTAGCCGTACTCCAAGTTAATCAGTCACTCAACAATCAATAATTTAGATTTATTTACCGCACCAAAGCTCCTTGCCCTATACGGGAAGGCGAATGTCCTCATCTTTATGACGGTACATATACTATAGACACACTTTGAAAATTTTGCCAAAAAAAATTTTTTTCTAGAAAAGTTACCGTTTCACGAAGGCAATAAGTAACAATGACTATCCTGTACCATATCACCAAATGCCACGAGGATCTCATCTATCCGACGAAGAGCAGGCTCAGATCAGCGCCCTGCACACAGCAGGTTTGAGCAATCGTGAGATTGCTCGCCAGCTGTTTCGTTCGCCTTCCGTCGTCAGTCGGTACCTGCGTTCGCCGGAATCCTATGGAGGCAAGAGAAGATCTGGTCGGCCGAAGAAGCTCACTGCACAAGACGAACGCCAGATTGGACGGCTTGTATCCAACTCGACGATCAGCGTCAACGATGTTCGCGCCACCTTACCGACGGCCGTTTCCAAAATGACGGTTTGGAGAGCGATCAGACGCAACAGCAACATTGTGCGATGCCGTCTTCGTCCTGCCCCCCGACTTACCGAGTCTCACAAAGAGGCTCGGCTGCGATTTGCCAGAAGGAACATGGCAACAAATTGGTCGAAAGGTGGGGGTACTTTCTAAACCTATTCCAACGACGAAATTTTCTGTTTAGGTGGTGTTCTCCGATGAGAAGAAATTTAACCTGGATGGTCCAGATGGGTACGCCTATTACTGGAGGGATCTTCGCAAGGAGCAGAAGTACTTCAGCAAGCGTAACTTTGGCGGAGGCAGTGTTATGGTTTGGGGAGCATTCCACCAAGGCGGCAAGCTTGAACTGGCCTTCGTTTCCACGAAAATGAACTCAGTAGACTACCAGGACATGCTTGGGCGACACTTGCTGCCATTTCTCGCCAGTCACGATAGACGAGAGTTTGTCTTCCAACAGGACAATGCGGCCATCCATGTGAGCAGGTCTACTATGGCATGGTTGGAGGAGAGAAATGTGGTCACTATGGCCCATAGAGACCCTAACCCCATAGAGAATATCTGGGGTATACTTGTCAGGGATATTTACAATCATGGACGGACTTTCTCAAATGTCGCAGACCTCCGGACGGCGATCAGCCAGGCATGGGCTCGTTTGGATCCACAGCTGCTGAACAAACTGGTCGAGTCGATGCCAAACCGCATTTTTGAAATCATTTCAAAAAATGGAGGACCAATTAATTATTAAAAGGCTGTTAATAGTTTGTTTTCGTA